GGGCGGGGGGGGATGTGGCTTGGGAGTGAGAGGTAGGGGTAAGGCACAGGCATATCACTGCCCCTCCATAATCATATTACTCCCCCCTGCCCCAACAGGTGTCTTCTTTTTTGAAACTGGAAATATGGTAACCCTAAAGGAATGCAGCCTGGGCAGATTGAGGCCCCTCCCCCACGGGGGGGGGGGGGGTGGGGGGGGGGGGGGGGTTACACTTGGCAGGAGCCCAGGGTGGGGCAAAGATAGGGCACAGGATCTGGGGGAGCAGAGATGCAGGGATGGGCACCCGCAGGGGCTGGGGCACATGGCCCCGGGAGGCACCAAGATGCTGGCGGGTGCCCGAGGCAGGGGCAGAAGCCACAGGGTAGTGGGGGCTGGGGTCTCACCTGGTCCTTCTTGAGGGTGATCTGCCCAATCTCGCGGTTGCCCACAAAGGAGCGGGTCACCTTGAGCACACGCTCACCCACCCGCACCCGGATGATGTAGTTGGTGGGGAAGTAGCCAACCTTCTCGCCAATCTTGCCCTGGATAAGATACAGGGGGCAGGGGGTGGGGCTCAGAGCCTGGCAGGGGCTGTGGATCAAGAGTGACGGGCACCAACAGGGCTGGGGGACAGGGTGCTGCGGGTTGGGAGTGACGGGCACCACGGTGCAGGGCTGGGGGGGCAGGGGGCTGCAGGTCAGGAGTGAGGGGCACCGGTGGGATACGGGGGCCCCACCCTCTTCCTTCTGCAAACACTGCGACCCCCGCACCATGCCCCCTTCCAGAGCCCACGGCTGTGGCCCCCTCACCCTCCACCACTCCTCGTTGGAGTCGTCGATGACGGTGATCTTCTCCCCGGGGCTGCAAGGCAAGGAACCGGGATTGGGGCAGGGGTCCGTGCCATGCCGGTGGGGGGCTACCGCCAGCATCAATCCCCCGCCCCTGGAGTCCTGGGATTGGCCGATGGAGAGGCCAGGGAGCCACCATGGGCCTGAGCTCGGCCACACAGAGGCCAGCAAACCTGCCCCCTTCCCCCAGGTGACCCAAGCATGGGGCAGTGACGCCTCCAGACACCCCCCCTTGGCCCCGCTCACGGGAAATCCAGGTCGTCTTTCTCCAGCGCCTTGAAGCGATAGAGGGCCACGAAGTAGTGGGACTGCCCGAAGCCCCCGCGCACCCCGGCCTGCGGCTTCTTGCTCTGGGGGGACAAGGCCAGAAGGTTGGGGCTGGGCTGGGGGCACAGGGGTCCCTCCAGGGCCCCCCCCAGCCCGTGGGGATGGTACCTTGTCATCAGGGGCGCTCTTTTCTGCCTTCTTGTCGCCCTCAGGGTTCCCTGGGGGCACCGGGGGGGGGGGGGTCAGTTGGGTCCTGGCCCAGCCCTGGGGCAGTTGTGGGGGGCAGGACCCCTCCCCCCCCGCTCCACACTCACCTCCCTCTGCCTTGTCCCCCTCTGGCTTGGGCAGCTCCTGCTCCTCCTCCATCATGGCCGCCAGGGGCTGGGGGCAGGGGGGCAGGGTCAGGGCAGGGGGCAGCCCCAAAGTATTCTGGCCCCAGGGCAGGGGCATGGCCAGGGCGAGAGCCCCGGGGGATTCTGGGTAGCAGGTCACGGGGGAGGGGGGCTGGGAATGAGTGGGGCCCTGGAGGATCCTGGGTAACCAGATTGGGGGCACTGAGGCTGAGCAGAGGATTGTGGGTAAGGGGAATGTGGCCGCATGGCTGCCCCAGGGGACTGTGGCTCATGGGAGGTGGTCTTGTGGCTGCCCCAGGGCATTGTGGGTAAGGGGAATAGGGCCCTGTGGCTGCCCCAGGGGGCGGTGGGTAAGGGGAGGTGGCTCCGTGGCTGCCCCAGGGGATTCTGGGTACTGGCGAGGCAGCTCTGGGCAGCTGGGTCCTGGGGCCTCTCCGAGGCAGGGGGGGGGG